TCGTCTTTCGCTGGCGGACAGCTTGCTCTGTGATATTTCCTGGGCTCGTGTTGCAATTAGGTTGGCCACACGCAGCGCGATGGTCGGCGGGGCCTCGATTATGAAGACGTGGTCCTCGTATTCACCAGGCGTAGTAATCAGAGCACCGGTCTCCTCTCGAATGAGTTTGATTTTCTGACCTGCAAGATTAAAAGTCGGAGGGAGGTGAGCACTGGCATAGACAACGTTATTAATAGAAAAGACCCCACCGGTTCTGCGTAATCAAGTTCCTATACGCAACCTACATGGAAGTTACAAAATCCCGGTTATGTTTTACGGTATTAAGAACGGAAAGAACGTCACAGGACAAAAGTTTTACTAAGATGCGGCCGAGGTTGGTCAGCAAAACAAACAAGCGGAATAGAGAGGTCTAATAAAAAAATTTCAGTTTCCAAAAACATAGATGATTGATTATCCTAAACTGCAGATGGGGCAGCAAATAGTGACGTTCCTTTGCGCTCTACCCTAGCCTTGGGGACCTTCATTAACGACCAAATATTCGGTCCGTAACTTCTGCGTCAGTTCACAACACAGATGGAATGCCTGTTTCTTAAGAATGTTCAACAACCAACGACACGAACAACAAAGTGGTTAGGAAATGCTTTTCTTGTAAAAAAAAATGGCCTGAGGACGCGAGTCAAGACTGAGTTCAGCGGTGATGGTGGTGACGGCAACCGGCACCACAATCATGAATCATCCTAAAATAGTTGGCAAATGGAAATGAAACATATGGCAAGCAAAGTGGTTTTTGGATCTCCTCCCCTCCCCTCCACTATAGCATACACTAAATCCTACAAAGGGGCTTTCTCAAAGAACAAAAACGTAAAGGGCTAGAAAAAAAAACAGCCACTAGCAAAAATTGCGACCTGTGTATGTGCCAGGCCACAGGAAGTAAGCCTACACTTCCGGCAGCAGATGCTCCCGACCCAGCTGGAGGGCAGCGGGTGATTGATGCACGACGTGTGACCTTAGAA